CCTTTTCCATATGTTTTGGGGTGTATAAATGTGTTTTTGTTCAACTTCTCCAGGGCAAACTAGAGATGACTCTGGAAATTGTGGCAGAACAGGAACATGAGGAACGACCAGCAGGTGTGGGGAGGGATGAGCCCAACATGAACCCCAGGCTGGAGGACCCCAAGTAAGAACATCTGGAATGGAAAATGAACCATCAGGGCATGGAATACTCAAATGGGAATTCTGAGGGCCCAGTTGGAGGGAACTGGGATGGACAATGGGCTTGGACCTGTGTAGGATCTGCTGATGAACTGATGAAAGAGACGAGATGGTTCAGGGAGGTGGGAAGGGTGGTCTGGGCCATCGAGGACATTGGTGGGACATTCCCAGAGGGATGTAGGAGCTGAGACAGTTCAGGACAGGCTTTAAGGCTGTTCTGAACCACCAAAGAAGACACTGGGAGGACATTCCCAGAGGATGTAGGAGAGGAGACAGTCCAGTGGGATGTGAGGCTGTTCTGGACCTCCAAGCTGGACACTGGTGCGACGTTCCTGGAGGGATGGAGGAACTGAGACAGTCCAGAGGGGCTGGAAGGTAAGTCTGGACCACCAAGTGGGATGTTGGTGGAACATTCCTAGAGGGATGGAGGAGAGAAGACAGTCCAGAGGGGTTGGAACCACCGAAGAGGACACTGGTGGGTCATTCCCAGAGGTCTGGACCAACAAAGAGGTCATTGGGGAGACATTCTCAGAGGTCTTGACCACCAAGGAGGACACTGGTGTGTCATTCTCAGAGGCAAGTAGGAACTGAGACAGTCCAGGGGGACTTCAAGGCTGGTCTGGACCACCAAGCAGGACACTAGTGGGACATTTCGAGAGGACTGTGGGTTTTCAGGACACAGCCATGGGATTGGTGCTCCAGGAGGATGAACCTCAGAAGTGACTTGATCTTTGCTTGTCTCCAGGCGCCCAGAAACCTCCTTCCTGTGGTTCACCTCTCCCTACAAGACCCTGAAGTACATCCTGTGGAGGAGGTACAAGTGGGTGCTGCTCCTCACCATCCTCCTTCTCATCGTGCTGCTCTTCCTGGGAATCTTCATCTATGCCTTCCCGGTATGATGGATGTGGGAGAGGACAGGGAGATTGTCTCAGGCCCTGGGTGTCCCTCAAGGTCTCTGTGGGTGATGGATCCAATGCAGGTGGCTGCAAAGTCCTGTACTGGGCTCTGAGGAACATCTTGGTAGGAACATGATGGGACAAGAAGAGTTTTTTGGTTTGGGTCCCTCATAGTAAGACATTGAAGAGTTGGGGCATGTCCAGAGAGTAGAATGGAGCTGGGAAAGGACTGGAGAACTTCTGATGGAGCTGGGGGAGCTCAGTCTGGAGAAAAGGAGGCTCAGGGAGGACTTTCTCACTCTCTGCAACTTCCCGACAGGAGGTGCAGGGAGGGGGAGGGGTGGGATCTGCTCCCAGGCAACAAGGGACAGGAGGCAATGGCCTCAAGTTGCACTAGGGAAGGTTCAGGTTGGACATCAGGAGGGATTTCCTCATGGAAAGGACTGTCAGATATTGGAACTGCCCAGGGAGGTGGTGGAGTCACCACCCCGGAGGTGTTCAAGGAATGACAGGACATGGCATTTACTGCTCTGGTCTAGTTGAGAAGGTGGAGATGGGTCACAGGTTGACTGTTAAGGAAACTTCTTCATGGAAAGGGTTGTCCAGCTGTGGAACAGAGTCCCCAGGGAGGTGGTGGAGTCACCATCCCTGGAGGTGCTCAAAACCCATGTGCATGTGACACTTGAGGACATGGTTTAGTGGTGAACCTTGTTGTGGTGTTGGTTGATGGTTGGACTTGATGATCTCAGAGGTCTTTTTCAACCTCACTGATTCCATGATGACGGGGATGGTAGAGATCCCAAAAAACAGATGTGGGAAGGTCCTGCCTGGGGTGTCTCCTGTGAGGAACACAAACCCCACCAAATGCTGGTGCTGAAACACCTCTTGAGGCTTTGTGGGATGCAGAGGAAAAACATCAGGAATGCGTTTGCCTTTGGCAGATTCTTTGGAGTTCATCCATGGAGCTTCAGACTGCGTTGGTGCTTGTAGCAAATGAGGTGGGAGGAGGGCTGGTGAACCTTCCTCTTACTCTCCAGCCAAGCTGGTGTGATGCTCCATGCTGAGCCCATGGAAAGCTCCACTCTCCAGAAAAATCCTGGCATGACTTGGGGGATGCTCATGGACCTCTTTCCAAAGGGTCCAACCCAACAGGAAGAGTGAGGGAGGTTACCAATTTGAAGGGATCATGAGGAGAAGTAGCTGTGAGGAACAGTGTTGCCCAAGCAACATTGAGCTGAGGGTGGTGGATCTAACCTCAGGATTTGTGGGAAGGAGCAGTGGGAGCCAGAGGAGAGGAGAAAATACCAGAGACTCAGCAAAGGGCTGGAGGTGCCTCCTCACTGCTGGAAGAGTGTTGAGTTACTGGGGTGGTGCTGGTGGGAAGGTGCCAAGTTTCTTCCAAGGAGTTTGAAGAGGTGGAAATTGATCCTGGTGGAAGGAGCAATTAAAATCCAGGAGGAGCTCCCAGTGCTTCTTGAATCCTGAGGTGGTTTGTGTTGGATGGTCTTCAAGACCATGTTGTGACCAGGAGCTTCTGCTGGGAGAAGGCAGAACCTGTTTTCTCCATGTCTTGGGCTTTCTCCTGTCCTTCCTGGTGGGAATGTGCTTGAGCTTGGCCATCACAGCTGCCCTGGATGGGGCCATGTCCCATGTCTCTCAAAACCCATCAACCTCCATGTGCTTCCCTGCTGTTCCTGCTTCCAGCCAACCCCTTCTCCTTGTTTTTCCACCCCTGTAGAACTATGCTGCTATGAAACTGGTCAAGCCTTTCAACTGAAGCTCTGCTGGAACCACATGGAAGCTCTGGTGCCTCCCTGAGGACTTTGGGAAGAAGTTGTGCCTCTGGATCCCATCAGCAAGTGGAGATGGAGAAGGAAGAACCTTACCCAGACCTTCAGCTGGAGCCAAAATGAAGATAGCACTTCCCTGGTGGACTATGCTGCAGAATTCCATGTTGGAAGCATCAGATAACCAAAGCCTCCACTGAAATAGTCATTCTCTCATATCTTCTCTGTCTTCTGGTTTGATTCCTTGATTGCTCTGGGTGGTAAATCCTCAATCCCAGTGAGAAACTGAGGTGGGGAAGAGGGAAAAGGACCTTTCCACATGTGGTCTGTGGGTGTGGAGATGTCAGAGACCCCAGTGGAGGAGTCACTGGTGTGAGCAGCACCTTCAACCCAAAACCTCTTGGACTTTGAGCACCTTTTGCCCTCTGAACTTGCCTCAGTTTCCCTTTGCTGTGCAATGTGTTATCACTCTCCCAACCTTGATGCCCTCAAAGGTCTCTTCCAACCTCAATGTTCTTCAAGGTCTCTTCAAGATCTCTTCCAGCCTTGATGACTCTATAATCTGCTTTAGATATGTGTAAATCTACTGAAACCAAAGTGTCCTAACCAGCCTGGATCCATGGGCTGAATTCCCAAATCCCAATCCCTGTCACCTTCCCAAAGGACAAACCACTGGGCACAGGGTAAAGGCTGTGATGGGGCAGGAGTTGGTGGTCATCAAAATCAAAGCTCTTCTGGAATTTTGGGACCTGCACTGTCCAGTCCATGGGTTTTGGAGCTTGTTGTCCCTCTGAGATGCTCTTTCACCTCTGGAGTCCAACATGATTCCCATCCAAACTGGGCTGAGCCCTATCCCAAGACCAATCCCATGTGGGCTTTGTTTATCTTCAGCCTCTACAGCCACACTTTGGAGAAGCCTTAGCTTTCCTAGTGTTAGAATTTACCAAATCCCAGAATCCTTGAGGTTGGAAAAGACCTCTAAGACCATCAAGTCCAACCTGCAATGGATCATCATCTTCTCAACTAGACCAGAGCACTGAGTGCCATGTCCTGTCATTCCTCGAACACCTCCAGGGATGGTGACGCCACCACCTCCCTGGGCAGTTCCAAAGCCTGACAGCCCTTTCCATGAGGAAATTCCTTCTGCTGTCCAACCTGACCCTCCCCTGGAGCACCTTGAGGCTGTTCCCTCCCATCCCTTGTTCCCTGGGAGCAGATCCCAACCTCCATCTGGCTCCAACCTCCTGTCAGGGAGTTGCAGAGAGACAGAAGGTCCTGCTG